CCCTACAGTAATCGTTAGCCGGCTCCGTTAAAATCTTTTGTGCGTGGTATGAGTACAAGAGCCAATCTTTGAGCCAGCCATGTGCAGCGGCCCGGAGGACCCGGGCGCTGTACTGGTGGTTGCACTTCCATCCATTTCTAGAATGAGTTCGAATGAGTTCTGGCGTTTCGCTCATGCACCAAAGGCTATACGGCTGATAACCTAGAGTTAGTAAAAACCACTACCCCTCCAAGTGATAGCAGTTATTCCATTCGGCAGCTACCTTTTCTTGCTAGAGCACTCGTGCCACGATCCAACACCTAACATGATACTTCACACGTGCACAGATTACAAAAAGATGTGAGCATGTGTCAGAGCATGATCACCGCCATGCCCTGCTGATCGTACAAGCAAGCCATGCAGGGCGGAGTTCATTCTTGTTTCGAGACTTGCCGTCGCACACAATGCCCACCCACTCACCTATCCATTCATGCATCCGTCCACCTATATCCACGCAGTCTCGTTGCAAGGAGCAACACGAGTACACTGCCGGTATTGTTTGCTGTTGCCCAATTCCCATTAGGTCCACGGAAGCTCCACGGTTTTGTGTCAACCCGCTGCCGATGTGATTGGTGCTGGGACTGAGGCATGACTGTACCGGGTGAAACTAAATCTGCGCCTGTACAGCTTTGCAGATTGCTTTTGTACATCTACTGCGAATTGGAGCTTGAGGTTGTGCACAGGTGTACTGCGGAAGTGGCGGAACTTTCGGAACACAACCTACGTTGCCGCTCAAGTAAGTCATCAACCCGGTGCGATATCTCAAGGCCGCACTCCCGATGCCCCGAGCTCCAGTTCCAATTTTCTTCAGATGCGCTTTGCCCTTTACGACTTGAAGATGGAAACCGGAAATGCTGAGTAGTCGGGATGCGGCTTTGCGGTCATGGATTCATGCTGCATAGACCCGAATGGATGCAATGGTGCAATGGCCTCCTTCAGGACTCAGGTAGCCTCAGGCGAGCATCAGGGTCCAGCGTACTCGCACGGAACATGCAGGAAAGCTTGTGAGCCCAACATGTAACGAATCGCACAGTCTCAATCTCTATGCCTCTGAATCGAAGTAGGGATCAGGGATGTCATGAACCTGATGCCACTACCGTGATCATGCAAAGTGCTAGCAGTATGGCAAGAAGGCAGGCACTCTCAACTGTAGGGAGCTTGCAACACCCATAGGATGACGGCAAGCCGACGAGTCAAGAAGTCGGTGTTGGATCATGTGCGGTTGCCTGCCTTGTCATCATCTAGGTGCAGGCACAGAAAGTTTTAACATCTGGAAAGTCAGTAGGGGGATATCTTTGTTCAGCGAGGTGACGCAATGTGAACTGTCTTGGGCAAGGGGGCACCTGGCGTGCCACAGTATGAGTGGATTGAACTTCAGTGATCGTACAGACGCGGTCGCTGAACGAGCGATCTCGAGGATTATTCCTCGCCAGGCCTCGGGCTAGGCTGATCCGTGGCCGGCCCTGATCTGGAGGGATTGTGCAAATCTCCACAAGCTCGAAAGGGAATCGGGGCTCCACCATAGTGTTGGGATTCGGTCTTTTTGCCAGCCGGTCTTGAAGCCCGCAGAATTCAACCATCTAAGGCCACGGCGGATGAATCGAAAGGGCTGCTCAGCCTGGACCTTGCACCATCGAAGAAGACTGCGAGACCCCATCTTCCCAACGGACCGTTGCAAAGTTTCTTTGTCAATTTTCTTGAACTGCAGGAGCATCTGGCCGTTGCTGTGGCTAAATTTGCTAAATGCGAGCAAGCATCCTCGACCTTGTTGACCAGCGGGTTGTCCAATGGCTCCGAGATGATCGTGTGGAGCAGCTCCCAGGGTCCCAAGAGGCAGTTTCCCTTGCCGAACAGCCATGGGCGGCCGCAGCAGGATGACAATGAGAGAAGAACAAGTGTGACTGATATGATGTCTGTTCCGTATGGACTGAAAGCCAGTGTCTGGTCAAGGGAAGCTGTCAGAAATGACGAAGGCCCCGTGTTGTTGTTTTGAGGTCCTCTGCACTTGGCTCACCAGCAAATTTAACGAGGGGAGACTTCCAACAAAAGGACGGGCATCTCCAACCGCACGTTGCAGGCTTGACACGGAATCACACAAACCTCTTGGCCGCACGACTGGCCCGATTTGGCGGAATTGCTGCTTGGAGTTTGTGAGGTTCCCGCTGCCAAGTCCTGTTTCCAAGCAGCTCAAGAGTTTCCCAGCCCGAGAGAGGTGGTCGCTCGACACAAACGAAAAGCCAACTTTGCCTGCAGTACAAATTTTCACCAACCTGGGGTTGGGTCTGCTTCCTGCAAGAAGGGCGCATTGAATTCTGACGGGGTGCTGCCTCGAACTTGCCGCCAATCATGCTGTGTGTGAAACCTCTCAGCGGTCTCACCGTCTTACTCCCGGCAAGCTAAACTCAGATCCTCACGGAACAAGCCTAGATACTGCCTCTGTTTGAGGACATATTACGCTCGACCTAACATGCAGCATGTAAGTCCCACATGCCCTAAAGCGATCACCAGCAATATGCTGGCAGCACCCTTGGGTGTCAGACGAAGCGCCTCTCCTCGCCACGAAATGGATCGCCCCAATCGTATGGCTGCGCTGTAGGTCTCCAGCAGTGAAGCTCCTTTCACAGTTGCGGGGTTGTTCCGCTCGTCTTGGGCCGGTGTTGCTGACGAGCTACATGACTGTAACCTGCGTGACTTTAAGGCACCATCACGGGCTTACGTCTCTCAAGTTAAGCTTCGGAATTTCGGTTTCGAGTCGCACAGTGTCTGTTGCTTTATTAGGTTCGAACTGTTCGAACACGGATGGAACCCTTAAGTTAAAAGATGAGGGAACATCTCATGAGAACGATGTTCCGAAGACAGGAACACGCCACATCCAGAGCGTACATGCACTTCAGCAAGGTTCGCGCATTTCGTCACAGACTAACGAGTGACGGACAAAAGAGCTCAATAGGACGACCCGCATGACTAGTCACGTTGAAAACAGGCGAAGTCCTGGTTGAACGCACGGCACTTTGGCCTAACATGGCCTAACACACCTTTTCGCGGCTTAGGTTCACTTGGTATCCCACTGCCACTCCGGTTGAAGTGTTGGCCACTGGGTACGGCTACGAATTTGAGGTCTTGCTTGGGCCCAAACCGACTGTAAATGACCAGCCGCATATAACATGCTGCTTATACTCTGTCTCCACGTGTATACCTACATATATATACGAAGCAATTGTCTATAAGATTATTTCGTACATGCAATGATGTATGCGTCTCTATATACTTCTTCTGTGTATAAATACATGTTATATCATATCAGACTATACATCCTTATAAAAATAACATTATATACATATATATATATATATATATATATGGATATTTGTATACTCCTATACACATACTACAAAACAAGTAAAAAGGATGCACGGCATGCACATGCGTGCAAAAACTCAGACACCCATACACTCAAAAGCGCTCCCGGAGGCTGCAGATGCGTCGTAAAAGGTCTCAGGGTCACCTCAGGGCAGCTTCAGTGGTGCAGTCGCTACCCTAGCCGGACCCACTCGCTCTCTCTCTCTCTCTCTCACGGTGTGTCCGCGAAAATGGCAGTTCCCACTCCCAGACTGCGTCAGATGGTTGACAACATGCCAGCGGTCCTCCCATGCGAGCTGCGCGTCTGGTCAACACCACAAGTGCCACCAACACCGAAGAAGCCGGCGAGAAACTGCATACTGTAACCAGCAGCAGGATTCGGAAGTCGAAGCCCCGCTGAGCAACGAATGATTATTCAACAAGTAAAAGTGGCAACTAACGTTTACGACTTGACCAACCTGAAGATACGAACCAACAACTGGCCTGCTATGGACAAGCAAGAACAAGGAAAGCAGATGTAGATCAGAACAAGTACAGTAGCGGCCAGTAGCGAAACCGTGACACGAAGCACAGAAAACAGAGAAGGCACACAAACAAGTGCGAACGGAGCCGTTCAATGCAAGACCGTCGGTCATGAATGATTTTGGCCGAACAAAGCTCAACGACTTTACAGAAATCACAAGCAGCGGCAAGCGAAAGAGGAACCACTCGGCCAGAGGGACAACGCTGGAAGTTCTCTTGTCCGCCGAACAGCGCGGCAGCTGCTACTGCTGCCAGTGCTACGACGAGGACCACGAAGCCGAGGAGAGGAGGACGACGAAATCTACCACTTATCCTGCTGCTGCTGGTCGACCTAGCTCGACCAACCAAGAACACTACTGTACTCCACAAAACCAACTCATAAATTCTCATCAGAACTGCCGCTGAGTGGAAGGAAACCAAGGCACCATCCCAAGCATTCGACGCTTCGCTGCCAGGCGCGAAAGCACCGCCGCCATCCTTGCGGGCTTTGGACCTACCCTGGACCTACCCCAGTACTCCAAGGGACGGTCGGACGGAATGTCCAGCAATCCACAGTACATGCTTTTTGGTTCTGGGGGTTTGAAGGTCGGAGTGTTCGGAAAGGTTTGCCTTCGGCAACTATAGCAAGTTGTGCCACCACAGCAACTACTACCACGACTGACTACCGCCACCACACCTGCTGCTGCTGCTGCTCCTACTAATACTACTACTACTACTACTACCCCTCCTCCTGCTCCTGCTGCTGTTTGCTGCCGCTGCTACTACTACTACGACTACTACTACTACGACTACGACTACTACTACTACTACTACTACTACTACTACTACTACTACTAGTACTACTACTAGTACTAGTACTAGTACTACTACTACTACTACGACTGTTGTAAAAGCAACACCAAAAGAAATGCTGACACAAAAATGATAGTTACTTCATGATAACAGTAAGTATAGCCATCATAGCCGCAATAGCCAGAATCATAACCGCAAAAATTCATGAAAGTAACAGTATCAGTACACGATTACAACTATCACTACTACAGTCTTCGTGCGTCAACTACTACTACGACTACGACTACTACGACTATGACTACTACAGTACTACAGTACTGCTCCGACAAGACGACGACGGCGACGACGACGACGACTACTACTACTACTGCCGCCACTGCGACTGCTGCTACAACAACTGCAACTACAACTACTACCCCCCACACAGACGACGACCTGCACACTTTGAACGAGTTGCAAAGTCGACAGCTCAACTCCAGAAGCAGTCTGCACTTGTGTGGGCTTCAGGGCTTGGAGATCTGGTGTACTGTGGATTGGTTGTTGAATTCCGGGGAACTTTTCCTGCGCCATGTGAATTAATGAATAATGAGAGCACAGCGCAGAACACATCCGAAGCAATTAAAAACCGAAGCACTTGAGCTCCAAGTTCCACTTTCGGGCCACACTTGTCTTAGCGGCTTAGCGCTTAGCGAGTCCGGAGTCTTTGATCTCAAGCTGGTGAGGAGCTCACTTCCTCACCGGACTGGTCTCTCGGTTGCCCCAGGTGAGCACAGCAAGAAAGCAAGCGGAGTTCACGGGTGCCAAAAACGGTTGCACAGGCCGATACACAGCGATCCTCCGAGGCGAAGGTGGCTGGAAGTTCGACCTGCGCCCAGGGCAAGCTGTTGCCAGGCCCAGGCAATGCTCTCCAGAAGCTTTCGTAAAGTTTCGACTTCAGGGGTTGGGGGTGTGGCCTTCCCGGCCCAAATCACCCTGCAGAGTTTCAACTCAAGCAAGGATTGAGGCGCATGGCCGCGCAGTGTTTGGTGGATGAGCAAAGCTTGCAATCGTTTCAAACATCATCTGGCCGCCGAAGACGAGTGATAGTCTTCGGCAATTGGAGCAGGACAGCTTCGTAACCGCGCGATGTCCAGAAGGTTGCACTACCAAGTACCTCATAATCCAGTGCAGCTGGCTTCTTTGCCGAGTTTCGTTCAATGAGCTCATACATCTGGTAGATGAAAAGCGTGGGGAACTTCGGACACGGACCCTTGGAGTGGTTGCGAAATGAAACATTCACGCTCTTGCAATGCCCGGGGTCCACCGACCATACTCCAGCTTCCCCGATTGTTCATCTTCGGTGTCAGAAACTTTATGCTTTCACGTCTGCATAAGCATCGAAATCAACCGTAACTAATTTCGAACTCCGCCGCACTCACGACATCTTAAGGAGGACCCTGCCTTGTCTTGCGACGCTGCGCCATGGCTGCGTCCTCCCAGTTGCGGAAGCAACGGGCGCGTGCTACAATCAGTTTTCTTAACCACTTGGTTGCCATTTTCTGCAGCGACTGTAACGTTAGCATCTTTCATTGGTGCCATTCCTACTGCATCTGTTCCATGCGGGCGTCGCACCCGAATACTTCATGATACTTGGATCGCAGTTGCCACGGAAATAATCGCGCAGGGAGACAGGGAGTGGGCCTCAACTTGCACAGGTGCCGATATCCAAATCATCCCTGCGGCAAGCCCCGCTGTCCTTGCACACACATGGCCAGAGGCAAGCCGACAGCGAGGCCGGCCACGGCCCCCACAGACGCCACCTCTACTTCATGATCTGTCACAGTCTCGGTTGGCTGTTCGTCAGTCGTCACAACTGTGCCTTTAGGGACCAGTTGTGGTGGTTAACAGTTTAACATTTGTCCACACCGAAAAATGCGCATCTGAGTCTCGGATCGGCCCTACTTGTAGGTGACATGCCATGTGACGGTCGTGTAATGCTGGAGTCCCATGCAAATTCTTCAACCCGTCTCGCTGTGATTCTGGATGAAACTCCAACCATCACGACGGAATATGGTTGCAGGCAGCACTCAGGAAATCACAGGATTCCATGAAGCTAGCGTGCATAATGTTGCGCGGCTGCAACAATCTGCCGTTGCCGAGCCCATCTCCCGGCCAAGCCACCACAGCAAAGCCGGCACCGATTGAAAGAGCAGCAGCTCCTCCAGTGACGGCATACCTCAGGTGGGGCCCAGGCATGCCGGCATTTGGAAGCTCACGGACACACTGAAACTCTACCGTTGCAGCCACACTGGCTCTTGCCATGTTTTCTGCAGAAGATAGAAAGGTGGAGATTTTCGTTCTGCACGCTGCCTTGCTTGGCGGTTTCCACTACGCTGGCAGGCCGCGCTTTGGAGTTTGCACTTCCAAACCATACTCTTCACAGTAGCCGCTGGAGGACCTGTATAGATTCATGTGTGTCGCAATGATTAATTAGCACATGCTCGGAGGACAGCATCAGCCAATAAACCTCCACAGTGCGTCTTTAAGTGATACGGCATGCCCGCGTCCAAAAGGCAAGATCCTTGTGCCAACTTCTTCCCTCCGGTACTATTGGCTCCCCGGTACTATTGACTCCCACGACATGCACTTGGCGACAACGGCAGTTCAAGGAAGTGTGCGTTGGAAGTTGGCAGAAGGATCCTACCATAACCATAGCAAATTTCAATATCCTACTAAGTCCAGATTTGGCTTCGGCATCTCATGTTTTGTCATACTGGCCTAACTCAAAGAAGATTTCGCCTTGCTGTGTGTCATGCCAACTGCCAGGAAGCGAACCGATGATTTGTCTTCGTTGGATCAGGTGGTAATTGGGAGACGCGCTGCTGGGTTCAAAGGAACTCTTTGGCTCAAAAGGCGGCGTTCTTGTCATTTCTGCCTCAGCAGGTCCAAGTGGGCCAGCCCATGGCACGAGCATCATTGCTTCTATGTTGCTGAACCAGAAGTTCCCAGAGGCGAACGGCGGTTTTTTGGCTGATCCGAAGAACGCTTGGTTCGGTTCATCAATGTTCATCAGCGATTCGGAGCCACCACAGCATGAACCACAAGCGAGTGCGGTAACCCTCAGTCGGAGCTTGTCAAGCAAAGGCACACGATGCCGTTAGTCGTGGCAGCCAGCGTGCCGACCTGGCTGATGCATGGTGCGACACGGGAAAAGAACTACGGAAACTGCAATACAAGTGCAGGTGCGCGAGGTCAGAACTTTGGATTCTGGTATGACATGGATGTGCAAGCTCGCGTCAATCAGCACCCAAGCATGACGCGCAAACCCGACTCGTGCATCAACTAGCGGACAAATTTGCTCCTACAAACTCGCTAGTCGATGGTCTCGGCGAGCTGCACAGGAGATGCTTCACAGCGAGCTCGCAGTTCAGAACAAAGGAAACCCGAATCGAGCAATAACCCCATGCTGCAAATATATCCCTGACAGTCCGAGCACCGACCTGCGCCAAAGCAGCAACACCAGCTCCAGTGGCGGCTGCTGCGCCGCCCACCAGTACCTATAGATTCCAAAAGTATGCGGCACTTACGCTCCTGTTGAGGAGTTCCACGGACCTCCGGCTAGATGTCGATGCTGCTACAAAGAGATCGTGCTTTTGTAACGTCTAGCTATCATCTTCCGAAGGGTCTGCATCCTTCATGGAAGCAGCAGGGCTACACGAGGTCTAATTACCCAGAATGCACAGCTTTGCACTTGCAGCTTACCTATATCTGTTGTGACGGAGCGTTCAGGCTCCGTTCACTCGGTCGGTTTTTCCCCGAGGAGCTCCGTTTTGGAAAACTTTCGCTGCTTTTATTCTAGGCTTGAAGTCAATGTGGCGACCTGCTGACATGCAGTGATCCGCGCCTCGCCGGGCAATTGCATCGATGCCTGGTGCATGTAAACTCTTAGGTCGAAACAGTGGAGCCAGCGAGTCTTTTTCATAAAGAACTGATGCCAAAGAGAAGGGGCGCAGCCATAACATATCATCAAAAGTCAGAGGTGAGCTTGTGACAAGCATGTGCTACGTCCGCTGAGCTATAGAGCCATGGAATAATCTTAAGTGTCAGCCAGCCAGCTTGTGGTCGTGATCCTCAGCTACAGTACTTAAACTTAAATGCATGCCCTGTGCTCAATTCATCCCGGAGTAGGGTCGTCGGCATTTTGCACGTAGAGGCCACGAAGGCAGCAAACACAGAACATGCTTTAGAACGGCCTGCTTAGGTGGCACGAAGAGTTGTGAGTCCTACTTCGTCTCCCTGCAGACGCAACAAGAGAACAGCTGCCTGACTTGGAAGATTGCAGGTCATGCCCTCAAACTGGATGTTGGTACCTTGGCTTGGGCTGGCGTTCAGAAGCATGAGATCGAGTTTCTCGAGCAATCGGAACGCTACCGCAACCCGGGATTCCGTGACTGTTTCCGTGCCTGCCTGGCGACGGAGTGGTCCGTCGGAGGTGCATATCACGGCGGCATCTTGAGCGCTCAAGAACCACACGTTGCACCTTCATGTTGCAGGACTCGCAAATCAGAACGTATTGGGCTTCAGTCTCCATTACTCGGCCAATTGGTTGTGGCTTGTGGGCCACGCGTTGCTGAGACTTGGCTACTGGGTGCCCCCCGTCAGGCCAGCATTGGCAAGAGCTAGCAGCCAGTAAGCAGCACGGAAAGTCTGCACCAGCAATTTGTTTTTCGTAAGCTCGAAAAGCGGAGGGTACGAAACCGCTACGAGTAACCTCCGACTCCTGCATCCGAAACTCTACCATGACACTTCTCTTCCCGAACCTCTGCAGGCGCTCCATTGCAGCACAGGGCAGCTCAAGCTGTATCTCCTTCAGGCTTGGGAGATTTGGGGGAGCCAGCAGCCAACCCCGTCCGTCCCAAACATGCACCGGGCAACCTGTCCTGATCTGCCGAGGGCAATACACACACCACCAATATATCCTGCACCATTTTCTCAAGCTGCTCAACCTCGGCGATGAAGTGTGGAATGAGTGGATTTACGATTGGTTGGTTGTGAGTTATGTCGGCAGGAGGCCCTATAGATCCCAAAAGGGGTCAGCCTGGTGCACAGGCATTTCGATACCTTCCGCAGTGCGGCCAAGCTGCGAAACCGTCAATGTCAGCAGCAACCTCGGCCGATGCCAGAAGCCCGTTGCTCGGAGTGCGCAGTATGTGACCAACGAATGCCCTACTTGTACGACCCAAGAGATTAAGCCAGCTGCGGGGACAGGGCTTTCTGAAAGCATTGAGCCATCCGTCCTCAGCTGCCTGATAATAGCTTCATAACCACATACTATGCCTCCGTGATCTCCGCAGTTTGGCGCATATATGGCTGGCAAACTCAATCTCATGGCTTTCAAAAGTTAGCACTTGAATGCCCTTGACACCACACCTCCATAGGCATCCTCGCAAACACCGAAGTTGCGAGCTGCAGGCGCACACACGGAGCATTTAGAGACTGCCCTAAAACAACCTTCGTAGCCAGGAATCATGAGTCTGTCCATGGAAGTTTTGTTCATAGGCTGCGCAAAGTCTGTGAACATGCTGACGATATTGACTTGGTCAGAACACACGAGAAACCTCGAGCACCAAGGGCCAGGCACAAGCGTGTTCCACGTTCGTCTCAGCTTCTGCATCGTCAACAGTGCCTCAGTAACAAGGGGTCTCTTGTGTCTGCGCTGCAGCAGGGCGAGGGTCCGGGTGTGTCTCCGCATCACAGGCGCTGGGCCACTTAAGCACACATTTGCTCGGCCGGATTAGGGCTTAATGTGCGTGCGTTCAGTTGGTGGTTTTGGCCATCGGGAGGTTGCATGTCTCTCGTGGGCTATTTACCCCTGTTCCCTCCATATCGTCACAGGCTCTTCGGTAACAGTGGCACGACACCAAAACAGCATGCGACAGTGTGCTGCCGGGGATGCCATAAGCTTCATCGATGCGCAGATTCAGGCTGTCCGCATCGGCTCTGTCCTGCGTTTCAAACCGAGACATGCCAGTGGTAACTTAGACCGACGGACCACGGCAGCTGTAACACTTCGCCAAGGCTCAATGAGTTCGTGTGCGATAACCAGCAAATTGGCTGGCGAGTTGCCGAGGCCGTCTAGTGAAGCACCATGGCCAGATATTTAAGTGCTGCGTAAAGCCCATTAAGAAAGATGGACTGCTCATTCCAGCTCCTTGACAAGCAGAACAGCGCCTATGCTCCCGGCGAGGGTCTTCTCTGAGCGAAGCCCCTGTATCCTTGGTTGTCTTGACTGCGCCATGGACTGGAAACAATGAAGAAACATCAACGGCAGGGAGCAACGGACTAGCATCCCCAGTTTTTCGAGTGTGATGGATCAACTCTGATTTAGGTTGGCGTCTGCCTCTAATTTATTAAGCGGACTTTTGCACGAACCTTTGTGCAAATCATTTCGTCGCCGTGCAGGGGTTTCTGCGCCTGCTGACCTGGGTGCCCTTTGAGAGTAAGCTAGTACCGGATGGTGCTCCGCGCATGCTTGCTGGCCGTCCACCAAGTCTCAAAAAGCCGCTTCCCCACGCATGTGCTTGAATACGTTCGGGGGAACAGCCGGTTCATGCAGCACTTTCACAATTTATCGACTGTGGAGTCCTGCTTCAGGAAGTTGGACAAGTGGTGGATGTCGGGATACGAGGCCGGCAACACCGTCTGAAGCAGCCACGACTGCATCACTGGGGTAGTTGCAATGACAATAACAAGCACATCAAACATCACTGAGAGGCATGATATGCACAAGTACAATACATATGCATGACTTCTGGAACAAGAGAACCTGAAATGTTTTAAACTGTCCAAACGGCCCTTTTAGTCCTTCGTATAAATTCCTTCTCTTCTGCTTCTCCCAATCTTTCTATGTTGAAGGACAGGCGCAGTCTCAGCGCCTCATCGAAAAGCTGCGTAGCACGGAGCGGGCCTGTGGACGTGTCCAGGGCAAGGCTTTACAACACAGCCTGTGCATCTGAACAGCAGTGGATCTTGTATCACAGGCTTTGGCACCAAACACCCCCATTTGCTGCGTCTTTCTTGCAGCTGCTAATTAATTAGTCACCTTCCCGCAAGAATACTGCCCAATCAAGACGCTGGCAATCTTCTCAACACAGTGCGCGTGCAATTTTTCTTGTCAATATGCGGTGGCGAACTTTCAGCCGGACAACTACAGTATCTGTCACAACCCAAACTGGGTTTTGCAGGCTGCAGTGTGTTGTTCCGCGTCGTTGGTGAAAGCCATAGGCAGGAAAAACGCTTGCTCCCGTGGCAGCAATCCACGTGCTGACAGGGATGCCTCGTGCGATGTCGTGAAGACAAGGAATGCCTACCCTTGGCAAACCTAAGGCCTGCTGCTGACTGCGCTGGGCGTACCCAAGCCATACCCCACCCAAACTCTCCCAAACCTACATCCCGTCCCACACCTGCCAGTGGGTCCGGCAAGAGGGCGCTGCTTGCAGATCCAGGCTCCAACTCCGCCACTGACATAGCCAGCACGCCCGGCGTAGAGGGCGGTTTCGAAAATAGGATGAGGGTTGCAAATTGCTGGGTGAACTAAGGGAACCGCAGATACGACGAACCGAATTCTAGTGTGCTGGGTTGCGGCACATGTGCCGGGCTCCCGTCCATGTATCCTAGCCTACTAGTAGCCTGGAAGTCAGTTGCCATGCAGTGTTCCTTGAGCAGTGAGTACTGCCGTGATTTCTAAATGAACTATCCCACCTCTCGTGTATCTGCTGCTGCCCATACTCCCCATGTGCGCAAGTTCCCTCCTACTACAAGCGGTACGATTACGAACTCGAGATACTATAGTAGTCCTACTGCCATTACTACTGCTTCCACAAGCACTGGCAGGGGTTTATTTTAATGACATGATACCACAGGAAGGTAAGTTTCACAAGCGCGTAGGTTTGGCAAGAACACGCACCATGAGGTTGATCAATGCATCTTATGGCGATGATCACCGTCGTCAGAACAACGCCCCTCAGTACAACTTTCAAGGTGTCATTCCGCTCAGAGCCCGGTGAGGCTTGCCTTGGACCCCGAAGGGCTGGACTTCCAGTCGCATGTAGTTGCCCCCCCCCCAAGCTGGAGTCCAAGATCTGACACACTGACATGCCTGTCTGGTTTGTATTAAATGAGCCTGAACAAGAGCCCCGCAATCTCAGGAAATCCCGAGGGCTCCTTAGGGTCCATCGTAAACTGCTGTTTCCTCGCGCATCGCTCGCATGTCACGTCTCGCAGGATCAATCCAAGCTGCTTGGCAGGCTCGTAGGTTCGAGCTGTGAGATGCGGACCGCTGGGCGGCTTCCAGTCAAGGCTACCGAGCCCCAGGGGAGCCTAGAAGCTTGCAAGAAGACGGCCTAGATTCCTACTCGTACCAGTAACCAACGGCTGAGGAATGCCACGCGGAAGCCGGAAGCGTCTGTGAAGGGTGCTGACACACGACCCGGCACGCAAGAATTGACACGTCATGTCGTGGTCTGCCAAGCGATTCGACTCGAACCCTTTGTCCTGCCAACATGTACATTTTCAGAATGAAGTTCTGAAACGTCGATGCTGGAAGAATTGTATTAGCAAGGCGCGAGGGGCTTCACAGCAGCCAATTTCTGGGGCAGCCGCTACACTGCTGCACCCACCACTTTCCGCATGACCAATCTCTTCTGCACAGTCCATTTCCAGACTCGGTAGTGTTCCTTACAATCCGCGTGCTCGCAGCTTCGTTCATTATCTTCAGCGCGCAAGGCCCAGAAGCACAAACACTGGGGCAGGACGTTCCAGCACAGACTAATCAGATCAAACATGAATGAAGCAAGCAATCCAGGGATAGATTCCTGTACTACAGTTACCTGTTCGAGGATGCATAGTAGTTTAGTTCTGGATCTGCCATTCCTGCATTCTCAGCTTCGTGTTGGAAGGAGAGCCTCCTTACAGGCCTTGTGTCTGGCATCAGCAATGGTTAGTACGGTCGGAGTTTCCAGGGGAGCCTGGTGGGATCCTATACCAGCTTTACAGATGCCTTCTGTCAATGTTGGTGCTCTTAGGCCTTACGCAGCGTCTCCAGCAATCGAAATGACCCCCGGAACAACTCAAGGGCTGCTGGGATCTCTGTATTCGCTTCGTACGGGATGCTAGAGTGGCGGCCAATGATACAGTGTTGGCGTGAAACGATGTTCCGGGGACTATATTTTGAGCTCCCCTGTCAGATTTGGGGAGCTCAGAATATACGATGCTGCTTGGCTGGTCCACAGGGGCAGCAGGCGCTCACTAACGAGTAGTCTTCGCCGGTCTCCCTGGATATCTACAGTCCCTTTTGTCTTGACGCCTTCCACTTGTAAACTCAATGCATCGCGCCTGGTTCTATTGAAAACCTGCTGCCACCGCTTCGCGACTACGATCATGATGATGATGGCGATTGTCTAATGAGTCTAATTGTTATCAACCATATGACCATTGGTGCCATCATGACAAACCGACAAGCATGCCACCAAGAAGTCTCGCCCCAAAGAGTTGTCTTGTGTTGACGAAGCCCGGGATATTCTTGACAGTGACCTAGCAGACTTTCGCAAACTGTCTAACGCTATGAACCAGAGCCATCGGCCATGTATCCCTGCCAACCAGCCGAGGAAGAGAGAGCAACGTTCTGCGATGCCTCGTTGGCGGCACCTCCTCCAAAATCCCGTCTGGGAGCGGAGCGGGAAAATCACCGGCTGGAGCCGTAAATGTAAACAAGACTAAACTACTAAACTGTAGCGCAGCCTCGTGACAAATATCGTTCATGTGCTGCCGACTAGTAGCTATTCAAGGCTGTAATAACATACAAATAATGTGTATATGTATGTGCACACAAACACACGCATATATATATATATATATACACACACACACATACACATATGTGTATATAACTACACATACATATAAGTTCATATAAGTATGATATGAATATATATATTATATATATATATACACATGTCATTAGAGAGGCGTGATGACAGCGTTGCCCAGGGTCGTCGTAGTAGTTGTAGCAGTAGTCGTGGTGGTGGTGGTGGTGGTGGTGGTGGTGGTGGCGGTGGTAGTTGCAGCAACGGCAGCAACAGTAGAAGTCGTAGTCGCGATAATCGTAGTAGTCGTCGTAGTAGTAGTGGTGGTAGCTATTGATTGTGCTTAGTGGTGGTAGTTGTGGTAGTTGTGCTGGTCGTCTGAGTCGTTGTAGTTGATGTTGCTGTTGTTGTTGCTGTTCTTCTTCTTCTTGTTGTTGGTGGTGCGGTGTGGTAGCAAGCAACAGCAAGCAGCAGCCGCAATAGCAGTGGCAGCACCACGCGTCGTCGTCGTCATCCTTGTTGCGGTTGTGATGCAGTAGCTGCTGTTGAAAAAGTGGAGGAGCGGTGAGCGGAAGCAGCAGTCTGGGCCTGTGCATATGCTGCCTCCAGTACCGAATCTTGCCGGAGTTACTAGAACAGCATGGACGAGTAGTGTTGCAACTTCTGCTGTAGTCAGATGTAAAGAAACATCATGAGTCTGCGAAGGCCCTTTTAGGAGCAGGCACGACCCACGGATCACGACTTTTGCCTCGGCAAATGCAAGCGTTGGCTGTCGGACTCAAGGCAAGTTTTCGTGGCTCTCGAAGAGTATCTCTTTCGCTCAATAATGAAACCGATTTGCAAAGCTATCATTGGATGTTGCTGGCTCCCTGAATTCAATAGGATCCCACAACATCACGTGTCCCACGTTCGGGCCTCCCTTGGCTGCACATCACCCGCTTCTTCAAAGCACATCGCTTTCTCAGTCTACACCCAGGAACATCTCGGCTTTTGCTTCCGAAAGCTCTGCATTGGAGATTACGCCGTCGCCATCCTCAAGTCAGTGAGGCCAAACGTCTTCTTGCATTCTCCCACTTCTGTCTTATAAATTGCCTCAGCTTCTAGGGCCACGTGAGGATGGCTGGCACCTCAACAACTGCAGCATGCTTGGCTATCTCTCTCGCTGTCGGATTGAGAGGTGGCCCGCCTTGCGCAGAGCATACCTTTGCTTCTGCAGTGATTCTCGTGTGCTGCATGTACTGCCTGGAAAACCCTTGCAAACGTCCTTGTCCACCATCTGCATGATTTGCTTGTTTGCTTTGGCCGCTTCCTCACCACTTACATTCATGTCTGCCAAGTTCCTCAGATTGTCCATCGCCGGCACGCTTGATTTTGTCATGAGCGGGACATTGACGGGTGCTACTGCAGGGATTGAATTCGGATGTGCTTTTAAGAAGCGAGCACATGGGAACCGAGCTTTATGGGACAAAGCAAAACTCGTGCGAGGCATATTGTTTGTCAAACCTTAGGACAGATGTGATTCATAAGCAATCGCGGCATCAGGATAAACCGTGCAAAGTGTCGCATCCAACTCCTCCTTGGTCACACATCCATCTCCGTCCTGCAACCGTGTCCAAAGTTCGGATGCATGAGGTGCGAGAATACGGTCGTCTGACGGATGTTCTGGCTTCTGGAGGTGAACGGGCCGGAAAACTACGAGTTCCTGTGTGCTGACTAGCATGTCCCTAGAATTGCCGATGCCCCGCTGGCATCTGAAATATCTTGAAATGCAGGTGCACCCTGTCCTTGTCCAAGTCCTTGAAGCTCTTCTGTTCCAAAAGTCTTTTGGCAATGTCGGAGTAGGTGAAGGCTAGCAGGCTGCGTGTCAATGATCTCGGCTCCTTGCAGCAGGAGGCATATATTTCTGAATAGGGACTATGCGACTTTGATTCACTTATACCACCTCCGCTGATACTGGTATTCTGGGATTACTTCGACAGTGTCACTGCTTCTAATTTCGAGCTCGACCCTAACAAACCCTGAGGTCTTTAAACTCTGAGCCCTAGAGCCCTAAATCATCCGTTGATCCCAGATTCGGGAGCCGTCGTCGGAGCTTCTGCTTCAGCTTCCGCCTTGGCTTGCTGCAACTCCTCCTGAACCAGGGCTTTTGTTTTATTTCCAGCCAAGGCCAGCCCAAAATGTGAGGCTTGGGAGCTTCGGCGTAGAGCTTAGGCTCAGGCCCTGAAGTCCTGTGAAGATTTCGATTTGGCAGAGTTGGGGCTTAGAGACGGGAGGCCATAACCCCCCCCTCTCCCTCTGCATGCAAGGTTTGGGTCTGTTCGCTTTTTCCCGAAGTCGGCATTAAACCCTTCTGCGAGGCGCAGGGGTGAAGGTGTGCTGTCCGACTTGTTTTGCATATGCACCCAGCCTGTCCAACACCCTTTCAAGCAAACTTTCGGATCCCTGTGGATGCGATTTTGCTTTGGTGCGCTACAGTAGGACTTACAGGCAATTGCAGGGGCAGGCAGCCCAAGCTTTCCACATCCGGCTTTGATAGATTGCTGCAGCTCCTGGGAAATTTTGCCATCGCCGTCTTTGTCGACTTGCTGCATTAGCTCTGCTCTCGCCTGGAGGGCTGCAGCTACTCGCGGTGTCGGCTTGAGTTTTGGGGCTTGTATAGGGGAGGCTACGTGGAGCACAGCAGCTTCTAGAAGCACAGGTCGAATACGTGCAAGTGCAAGGTTTCGGGTCTTTGCAAGTCATGACTCCGTTGCGGCTGAGAGCTTCTCCGAAGCCGCTAAAAAATATCAATGTCGGCTCTTCCTGCATTTAATTTGTCAGTTCTCGCAACTCACAACCTCTTAAAACCTTAAGCTCCATTCACATTCACGCAATTTGCACAGTTGCGGCCCGTGAACTCTTAAGCTGCAGGCCGTCTGGCTCAACATTGAATCAGTTGAACTTCGCAAAATGTGAACCGAATGCTGCACAAATACTGCTGTTAGGCCTATCTCGGCTGGATCCCGAAACTCTGTCAACCCACCGGCCTGCACGGCCTCCTCTCCGCTCACCGCCATGCTCGCGAGTGCTGCGCCAACCTCCTCCTCACAGATCCGACCATCGCCGTCCTGACCAGACCAGGGCGCCCCTCAAGGGCCAAAACATGAATCGAAGCATCCTGTCAGGCACGACCTATAATTGCTGCACAACTCAATGTTGTGTTGTGGACGAGCTGTGAGAGAACCGATCGTGACATACGCGTACCGCATACTAACCAGCCCATAATGACCAACTCAGCCCTTCTTTATCATGATTCTGCACCCTGTATTCTTTTGAATCATCCTGTCCTTGTCCATCTCCTGGAACGTCTTGGTTCGCAAAAGTCGCTTGGAGGCGTCAGAGTAGCTGCCGCTGAGGATGCTGCGGACCAGCAGCTTCTTCTCGGAGTACTCGGACGTCTGCTTCTTTGAAACCTCGGCTTTGGCGCACTCAAACTCCTCCTGGGAGAGAACGCCATCGCCGTCCGTGTCCGCTTGTTGCAATATCTGCTGCCTTGCTTGTTCCAAGTCCTGGCCTTCGACTTTCATGTCGGCCAGTGAGGAGTCGAGCTCCTTCTGCGAGACTTGGCCATCACCATCGGTGTCCAATTCCTTGAAATCCTTCTTCTCAAGGAGACGTTGAGCTGCTCCGTGCATCGCGGCGAAGAGAGTCGATCGGACAACGGACCTGTGCTCAGCCGGCGCTTCCTTCCGGCTGACCTGAGGCCAAGCATTAAACATGAGCGAGGGATCCGCTCCGGCAAGGCTGATGGTCCCTCTGAGCACTGGGCAGATGCTGTGGCGCTGTGGGTGGCCGCAGCTGGCGGCTGCACTGGCACCTGGAACTGAAGGCACGTGGGAGGCCTTAACAGACAGCTATGCTGCGAACGTCGAGTCTCCCCACTCCAGCCTGTGCCTGTGACCCATTGCGACCCACAATTTCTAAACCCCAATCCCTTACACTTGGTCCAGGAGGATCATCGACTTCAAACCGTACGCAAAACCTTTCAGGTTTACATCTTGAACGGGTGCTCTGCCTCGGCATGCCTCGGCAGTCTCGCCTTGGGGTGCCCTGAATTCCGAAGTTTCGGTATACTCTCATGCCTTCCAACTGCCCAGGCACGGGTTGCGAGGGCCCAGCAAGCAAACCTTTCTTCTGAGCGGCCTCAAACTCCTTGGCCAAAGGATTTGGAGATTCTTGGTCGAAGGCAAAGTCAATGTGCCGACACAAGCACAAGAAGCAGCAAAGACATGAGACTACTCATAGTCCGAACGACACGGTTCACGCAGCTGTACTCGCAACGGGTATCTCGATGGTCGCAACTAGCGATTCAAAGGATGAGGGGTATGCAGACGTTCTGACACTCTACTCTAGCGCTGAATCTGGCCCTATCTGCGCCTCACGGGAGATGAAACCATCCTTGTCGGTGTCGAGGTCCTCGAACTTCACCGAAGGAGGAGGATTTCGTGCCCTGGGCGGCGGGGAGAAAACAAACCAACAGGGCAACCTGGGCAGTTTGCTTTTGCAGCCTTCTGCCGTTTGCAGTGCGATCCGCTCCGAATTCATGGACTTTCTCTTGCACGGCTTAGGCGCGAACTCTCTCTCTCGCCCTCTCTGACGCTGGCCCCAAGACGCAAAATCGCCTCACAACCTCCAAGGTCACTGACATAGCGCTGCTCCATGCAGTGCATGTACTAGTCTCAAGGTTTGGGGAATGCATTGTGTTTAAACTGTGTGTGAAGCCTAAATTTGCAAGACCAGCCGTGAGCACAGCTTGATGGACTTAGCTCACTGGAGTCTGAGAGGGCTTCTGAAGGCACAGTACAAAACCTAAACTGAACTGTGCTGGCCAGGCTGAGCCGCCCTTCTGCGTTTCCCATGCGAGCAGTCGCTTTGGCCACCGCGCCTGAGCAACTCAGCAAGAAGCTGTCTATCTTCCGGGCATGGGCCAGAGTACAACCAACCACTTGGCACCCACGTGTGCTGGGAATTCAGGGTTCGGGACCCTTCGCCATCAGGCCATGAAACTACTGGTAGGTCTGAGCCCGGCAACCTATGCAAGGACAGCAGACATTTCAAAACACACAAGTCATTTATTGTTGAACAGATGAACTTGATGTTGAACAGATGAACTTGACACACATCGTACTGATCTTGGCAAGCAGGACCGGCCACTGCAAGGGAATAATGACAAAGCAACGACATCCTGCAGTAGCAGTACTTTATTATTGCAACCACGAGAACCTGTGGTTTCAGGTACTTCTGTGCAAGTCACAGGGTACATGCTTCTAGCACAAAAACATGTGCCGGGCAGCACATGGGAAGGCATCAGTACCCATCTTTTGCATGCTGAATGAAATAAAACAGCTGTTGCTGAAAGACGCGCTTTGTTGGGGGTACTGCGACGTTTGCACGAGCAGCCGCTTCGAGGAAAACCTAGGGCCCAGGGTAAAACTCAGGCAAACCCTGAAACGTCCCTACACCGCGTGTGCTATATCAGATGCCCCTGGGCCCAAGGTCCAGGCTGGAGACGATGTTCGAAATCTTTGGCTCCAAACCTGGGCGCTGGCTCCAAGCTTGGAGTCTCTGAGCTGCTTCGTTGACTCTTTGCCCTCCGGCTCTATTTCGTAGTGGTCAGTAGCTTCAGTCTGGATGGGTTCCTATGCTCCACGCTCTGTGAAAGGGAGTGTCCTGCAACTGCGTAAATCCTGGCTGCCCAGAGCCTACGGACGGGGGATTGACGATAGGCCGCTCAAGGACACGGTAAGATGCTGGGGAATATCAGAACGACAGCTGTAAATACAAGTAGTTGCAATAAGCAGATGTTTTACACATGGCAATCACCACAATAGTATGACAATGAACAACATCTACACCAAGACGAGCAACGAAGCCTCTCATGGAACGGCTGGTTCTGACACGAACCATGGCCGTACCACTCCTTCTTGTTACTATTGTTATGAAAGGTACAGCCCACATCTCTGATATTCAGTAGACGTGGCGTTGATGCTTCCTAAAACTTCCAGCTCTTTGGTTTCAAGCCTCCAAAGCCAAAAACGAATTTGTTTCAGCATTGATCTTCATGGGATGGTGGACGGTCATCTTCTTTCGGTGTTGTGTCTGTCTGTGCTGTGCTGTGCTTTGCTCCGCTCTGTAGTGCTGTGCTCTGCTTGTCTTTGTGTTTGTCTCGCCGCAGGTTGCAGCAACACTCTCGCTCTTGTACTGTTTGTCGATTACAAAGTTATCATGATGTGATGATCTCACTGTGTTGATGGTCTCAATTTAGTTGTCGCGACTATACACCTGCTTCTGAATCAAGGCAGCCAACAATCTCAGCCCATACTGACCCATACTGTAACCCACTGTCATCCCCGAACCCGGAGCTTGCGGCCGGTAACTGCTCCAGACTCGCTTCTCCAGCAGCTCGGCCATCTGCGCGAAGCGCGGGCGAGCGTGAGCCTGTGGCCATTTGCCCCTATTCGGACCCTTCTTGTCGGTTGCACGCACTTACGCTTACCTGTGCACATATGTGGAGCCTTCAGCCTACGGATGTGTGAAATTATCGGCACTTGTCCAGAAGGCGTCTGAACCCTGAAGCTATCTCACTCTTTCTGAAGTACGACTCAAGTGCTCATCATGTTCACATCCGGGCAAACTCTCTGCACGAGGCCAAAGGCATGGAGCTGCCTCCGGTGGCTGTCGCTCTGCCTCTGCCACTCGCAGGGCGAGCTGCCGGATGGAGGCGCGCATCTGCTTGGCATCCTGAGCTTGGAGAGTCAAGCAAAGCTTCATGCTGAACACTTTCGAGGCTTGTAGTTCAGAATTTGCGTGGGATTTTTTTCCCTCTCGCATGGCTGGCATCAATGTCCACAGGCGAGGAATAATGGGGAAATAGCGGTGCTTGCACTAGCCCCATTTCGGTAGGCGTGGGCTCATCCCTGGAGCCTGAAACCCCAGTTTCCGGAAGAGCCTCCTTAACGGGAGCCGCATCCCTAAAGATTCACACGCCCAAGCTCTCGACGAGCATCTACGAGAAGCAGCTTGTTGATCTCGAACTCAAGCATCCTCCGAGCAGCAGCTATCTCCTGACAGGGCGAAACCGGCCACCATTGAGGAAGGTAACCGTTAAATGAATGGCATGTTACAACTCAGAACGATTGATCAAATGGGTGTCAATGACCGCTACGCTCCACGGTCTTCCGCCGACCCCTGGTGAGCCAAAGTACAGCGAAACTGTATGTCCTGGCGCGATGCCGATCCCAAACGAAACTGACCTCTTCCAGAACCCTACAATTTTCTCTACAAGTTGCACAAGCCCCAACTTCTGCGAAACGGCAAATTGATCCAATGGCAGTGCCTCGGGGGCTACTTCCAGATGCTCCGCCACAGCAAGAGCCCGGCGCAATCTTGGCTCGTCATGGTCCTGCCGGCAGAGCTTGAGATCCCAAGCTGAAGACCTGCCACACCTTCAGCACTTCCGCAACGCTCATCGACATCAATATTACCATCACTATCGGTGAAGCATTGGTTGTCATCGCAGCACCATGGCTACGTTGAGTGAAGCCAACAATACTTCTGACAGATTTTCAAAGGCATCTCGTCGTTAGTTACTGCTCTCACGCGACAACCAGTTCTACTGGTATCGTCAGTGACGATACTCCTGGCACGACTGCCTTCATTTAGCATCATTACGTTGAGTCTCTGTTTTCACTCGAAAGCTACTCCATGCCACTAGCATGGGCAGATTGTTCAAAGCACAAAGTAGAGATGCTAAAGCAACAGTCTTGACCCACACCGTCCTCGTTTTATTAACTCGCAACCAAGCAAGACTATAACTCTGACCAGTACTACCGACCGAGAATCAACATCCCGACTACATAAGATGCGCGAGTAAGACTAGTAGCATGAAGCGCCACGCTGTACATCTACTTCTGGACAATACTACACGGTACTACTGTAGAGCTCGTGGCTGCAGCAGAAGTTGCCGTCTTGGTCGCGGTGGTGGAGCTGGGCAGGATGCAGAGCAGCACATGCATTCGCCGCAGCCGCTAAGAATCAAAACAACAAACATTGCAACACTGCAATCTGCGAGTAGTGAGTAATCTGAACATGGGGCTTTGTTTTGGGCATCTTTGGTTGGGGACGATCCTCGTCCCGCAGACGAGGCTCCCGTACAAGCTTTCAGATGTATGCAAACCATGTAAAACTGTGCTTGCACATGCTCCCTGCAGGCATCTGAGGAACCTCGCGTATATGACCTCCACATACCTCCATTGATGTGATCTCTCAAACCCTGGTAGGCGTGGAACATCTTTCGCGAACTAAAGCAACCAGCGCACACTTGTGGGTAGCATTACGAAGCGGTTAGAGTCTAAAGTCTACAACCCACGCCCACACGTCAGTCGGGCCTCCATAGCCTCTGCCAGATCTAACCTTGAGTTCGTGCTTTCTACACCGGATGCGTTGCTGGGCTTGTTAATGTGGCTTCACGCACTATAACATGTTTGTGCTCCTAATCATTCTCACAAACCAGCTGTTCGCAGCAAGCGGCTGTGCGTTCGCCCTGGCCGTTGACAAGCTCTCCACACCCTTGGCCTTGACATTTGGGGTCGTCTCCGGCACCTGTCCCGGACGACAACACCACTTGGGTCCCAAG